TTGGCACAGGATAGAGCAAAGTTTAGGGCTGTTGTACATAGGGTCGCTATGAGTAGCAAATGACTCGACGGCACATAACAACAACAACAACATTAGGACCCACTGAACTGGAAAGATCACTAGAACGTAAGTTCAACCTCCCTTACTACGACTATCATTACAGAGAAACTGAGGCCCAGAAAAGAGTATAAGAAGGTATGAGGTGTTTTATAAGTAACTGACAGCATAGGCCCTTTTTCCTATTTTGGGATCTGGGGTTTATCACTCCCTACATCTTTTGAGGAGACAAGGCAAACTTTACACAACTATAGAGAGAAGAAATAACTTCTGGTTCTGATCCTACGAGTCCAGAGGAATTATCCTGCCAGAATGACTGAATGATAAGGTGGAAGGAGAAGAGCTAACAGGGATCTCCAGACAAGGTCCTGGCCCCAATAAATATAGATCACTTGAGTCAAAGGGAAGAGGAATGTGGGCAATTTCCTAGAGCCAACATACCTCAAACCTCTTCCCTGTTTCTGAAAAGCTTGTGGAAAAACATAGGTTGAGATGCTAAGAGTATTTTCCTGACCCTGAAAGTGAGAAGCAAGCTAACTAGGTGAGGGACAGAGTATCTTCCAATTCCTGAGAAGATATCTCAGATTTGAAGGGACTCAAGGTAGAGAATTATGACCCTGAAGGGGCACTCAGGTCCTCCTCTATAAACGCCTCAGGCAACAATAGAAAGAATCTCATGTTAAAAAGTTAAAAAAGGACCATCTAGTGGAGAGAGTTATATTCAAGGTCCAGGTGCTTGGCCCTAAGGGGAAGGATCTCTTGTCCCTGAGGAGAGACAAAGACTTTTCCTCAGAATCCTATCTCTTATCCATGTCCTGACCAAGAGACGTCTTCCCCAAGGGAAGCAGGGCCTTCTTTAGGACTCACTTTACAAGTGAAGTGGAGGGTGTCTTGTGCTCAAGTCACCAAGGCCAGAAATCTTATATTTTTAAAAGGCTATTACCGGAGTTACGGTGTCTGAGGTGAGTTTATATCTCAAGTTCCAAAGGTCTGTACTTCATGCATGGGGGGGCGGGGGGGGGCACCACACACACTACACAAGCTCCTTTCCTTAAGGATGATGCATTTATACCAAAATGAGAGTGCCAGAGCTTAAACCTCATTTCCAGAGACACATCTGTCACTACGGGTAGCCTTCTGTCCCTGAGAGTAAGCACAAATCTCAGCAGAGTGAGAACTCAGGCCTTTGGCCCTAAGGGAGACTTACCTGTTCAACAGTGGCAGGGTCCATGGCCTCGATACGTGCTGCAGCTGCTTCATATTCATCCTCACTGTTGTAGCCTGCACCGACCTCCTCATGCTCAGGACTACCTCCACCAACTGCACCAACTCCAGGGGCTTGACGCCGTCGCTTGCTGTGGCCTGGCCCGGAGCAACAGCCGCCCACGCCTACGGCACCGCCCACGCCCACCACCACACCCGCCGCGCCCACGCCCGCTGCCGCTGCTCCCAGCGCGTCACCCGGACCGCCTCCGGGACCTCCTGGGCCTCCGCAAGGAGGTGGAGAGGCTTGTTGAGGCCTGGGACCAGCCACAGCGCCAGGTGGCACAGCCAGGGCCCAGCGGTGAAGCGCGCCGGGCGGTCCTGGTAGCGGCCCCTGAGGTGGGGGCGAGGCCCGGGGACGAGTCCCCACAACGCCCGAGTCACGATCACGGTCACCGCCGCCCACGCCCGTGCCGCCGCCGCCGCCCACGCCCACACCCCCGCCGCGGCGCGGCGCAGAGGGCAGCGGCCCGGGCGGCGGTGACTCGTTGGTGGGGTCGGCGTCGGGAGGCGGTGGTTTTTTTTTGGGGAGAATAGTCATGGCGGTACCGCCGAGTACCCCCCAGCAAACCCGGCGCTGGGCACACTGGGAGAGAACCCGGATGAGGGCGGGGAGGGGGTGGGGGCTACTGTGATGCGCGAAGCACGTCGGGAAGAGCGGAACCCGGATAAAGGTATTAAAGCACCAGTTCGAGAACCCTCAGAGCCGCGCGGGTCGTGTAGGGAGGAAAACCCGGTGTGAAGTCCAAGATAAAGATAACGTTGTGAGTTTTCTGCAGCCTTCTCTCCAAGTCCAGCAAGGTTATGTTGTGCTCGCTTCTGCCTTCTGCTTCAGAGGAAACAGAACCAAAACAAGTAACCTTTTCGCTCCGCCCCCTTGCAGGTTCTTAATGTACCAGGTGCAGTTCGGGTGTCTTTCTGTGTACACACCAGAGAACAGCTCAGACCCCTTGTTCGGAAGTACGTGGGCAAGATCGCCGCCACAACAGTTGAGAGCACGAACCAATCAAAAGAGCTTTGTAGGCCCTTTATGACGCCTACGGGCCAATCAGGGACGAACTCTCGCCTTCCTAATGCCCTCCGCTTTAGATTACAGTTAAAAGTTGGTACCCTCATTCCCTCCCTTTCTTTTCGTTGACCTTTCCTGATCTTCGCTTCTCTCCCCAGGTTCCGATTCCTAGACGTGGATAGTGAGAAAGGGCTGCACAGCCTAGTCTGTGGACAATAACAAATGTTCCTCCGTTCCAGGCTCCCAAATTGCCTGCAATCAGCTCTGATGAAAATATCAACACTCCAAGAACTTCACATTCCCTTGTAGCGTCATTTCCGGTCCCACCCACTTGTGAATCCTGTATAGTGTGGCGGTCGCCATTTCATCTTGACAACAGGCTGAATTCTGAGCTCATTGGTTCAGAGAAACCGTCACGACGTTGGACGGGCCAGCCATAGGATAGACTGTGAGGACTTGGCTGTTTGGGAAGCCGACTTACTTTCTCGCCCTTGCGTTGATCTGGTCCCAGTGGCTAGCTCTGAGGCACAACACATCTTTTTTTAAAAATATGAAAAAGTTTTTGCTGTGGAAAGGTGAGTGGTTTAAACCCTTTAGGAGAGAAAAAATGAGGTTGGTTTACACTCTGTTTCTTTAAAACCCTAAGAGGGCAATTCTACGCCTTCTCATGTTGCTATATGTTGGAATCCATTCCCATGTGGTGGCACGCAAGTGAATATTTAGGAAACATCATTGTAACCTGAAGTCAGTGCTTGTAGAGGACCTACTGTCATGTCCTTGTTTACATCCAAGTAGACTGGTAGTGCTTTGGTTTTGGAATCCCTCTTTTTATATGCCAACCTTATTGTCTCTGAACACCTACCCACCCCCATGACCCCAGTCACTGAATCAATCCATCTCATTGAGGGTCTTTCTCTACCCTGCCAAGCATGATGTCCCTCTCCAAGTACTCTTGCAACATGCCCAGAGTATGTCAGACGAGGCCTCAGAATCCTAAGGAGCAGCCTGGTTTAACCCTCTCTCGGACGAACCTGTTTGTTCTTCAGGCAGGCCAGTCAGTACTCTTCAATTCAATACTCTTCTCCAGCGACAAAAGCTCAAAGGCATCAATTCTCTGTCATCCCTAGTCATTGTCCAGCTTTCTGACGCATAGCAAGTAACTGCGAAGACTGTGACCTGGATCAGGCGCACTTTAGTATCCAGACTGATGCCATTGCTCTTCAGTACTCTAGAGAGGTCCCTGACAGCAGATTTTCCCAAATGCAGTTCATGTATTCATTTCCTGGCTGCTGGTACCAAGAGTGTTGATTGTGAAGCCAAGCAAACTGAAGCTGTTAACAATCTCAATCTTTTCACTGTGTCTCATAATGATGCCAGTTGGCCCAGTAGTGAGAATCTTTGCTTTCTTGATGTTGTGCTTCAATCTCCATATTGAAGGCAACAGTCCTTGACCTTCTGCAGCAAGTGCTTCAGGTCCTGATGCCATATTCCTCCTCACAGAGCCCAGCCTCCCAGATAATCCATTCTGCATATAGATTTGAAAAGGTATGGAGATAGGACACATCCCTGGCATACACTCTTCCCTATTTTGTACTATGTGGTGTTTCCCTGCTCTGTCTTGACGACTGCCTCCTGGTCCAAGTAAAGGTTTTGCTTAAGCACAATCAAATGTTCTGGGATTCCCATTCCTCTCAGCCACAGATTGTTGTGATCTACACAGTCAAATAGCTTTGCATAGTCAATGAAACACAGATAGACATTCCTCTGGTATTCTCTGCTTTCAGCCAAGATCCATCTAACATTAGCTATAATATCCGTAGTACCACGGCCTCTTCTAAACCCAGACTACCATCTGGCAGTTCTCTGTTGATGTGCTGTTCCACTTGTTTTTGTATAATTTTCAGCCGAATCTTGCTTGCATGTGATATAAATGATACTGTTTGATAATTTCTGCACTCTGTTGGGTCGCCTGTATTTGGAATGGGAACAAATATGGATCTCTTCCAGTCAGTTGGCCAGGTGGTTGGTTGTCCTCCACATTTCTTGGCACAACTTGATGAGCGCATCCAGGTCTGTTCATCTCATTTTAGATCCATATATTCCACTCACTACTAGACATTTTAGAAAGGAACTCTGGTGATGTCCATAGCTGTAGCACTGCAAATCAAAAGGTCTTGTGATTCAAATCTACTAGCAGCTCCTTGGGAGAAAAATGGGCAGTCTCCTTGTGTTTACAGCCTCAGAACCTAATGGAGGGTCACTATGAATAAGAATCTACATGATGGCACTGAATTTGAGTTTGACACTTCTAAAACTAATCATGATTATGGCTAACTTATTATGTGTCTAGCACTGTATACTAACAACTTTCATGTTCCCTTTGACAGTGAATGGCCCATCCAATCATTGTCCACACCAGAAACTTGAGAATCAACTTGCTTGCCCCTTATTCAGGTCCACATGCCTGTCAATCCCAGGTCCTGCCAGCTCAACCTCTTAAATCTTTTTACTTTCCAACTGTATTTTCACTACTCTGGTTCAAACCACTATCACCTACCAACTGGATACCAAAAAACCACCTCACTGTGTTTCCTGCCTCCAAGACTATTTTTCTGCAATGTACTTTCCACAGCCAGAATGATCCTTAAACAAAATTTATCATGGTAGTTTCATGTTTATAATCCTTCAGAAGTCCCCATTATCCCTAAGATGAAATCCAAAATCCATATCCTCATTTCAAAGGTCTTTTGTGATCTGGCCTACCTTATATCCTTCCAAGTCATTGTACATGGTGTTTCTCCTGCCTAAAACTCCTTTGTCTTTGCTGGGTTAACCTCAATGCATTATTTATATGCCAGGTAAATTGGGTTCTATTAGGGAGCTCTCATGGCCTAGTGGTAAGGAGTTGTGCTGCCAATCCAAATATAGGTAGTTCAATTCTTACCAGCTGTTCAGTGGAAGAAAGATGGGCAATCTCCCATGCAATTTACACCCTCTAAAAACCTCCTGGAGGGTCAGCTATGCGTTGGTTCTGACTTCATGGCACATAACAACATAACCCATTGATCTTAGTTTTGTAACACTATAATTGCTTAATTGTCTGCCCTCTGTGCCCAACTCTGTGAGTCTATATCTCAAGAACTAGCATGTGATATACCTTAAATGTCTGATGTATAAGTGAATATGGTTATCTCTATTTCACAGATTAGCAAACTGAGTCATAAGAAGGTAAATAATTTTTTTCACACAAAGACTGGAGTCCAACTTAGCCTGGATTCAGGGTCTGTTGTGGGTTTTGTTGTTATTGCTCCACAGAGCTCAGTCACACACTAACTTGGTGTAGCCAGTAGCTCAGGGGAGAGAAGGAAGGAAAATTCTAAAAGAAAGAGGATTTCTACAAACTGGAGAGATTTTTTTATTAGAGTTATTTTTTCATTTTAGATTTGTTTTCTGTAAGGAAAACCCAAGTTTAACTCTCTTCTAACCAACTATGTGTTGTGAGTCTGTTTCCCTACCTGGGAATGAGGGAGCTTGATCAGATTATGGCCAAAAAGGGCATGTCTCCAGACATTCTAGACTACTCACTGGCTATAGATTGAATTTTTCAAACCACACTTTTTCATTTCTCCTAGATCCCAATCTTCCAGAACCTATCCCTCTCCTCTGCATATATATATATATATATTTACACGAGACCCTTCTACCAATGGAAAGGAACTTAAACCACATGCCTTCGGGATTGCAGCTCAGCTTCTTGCCACTAGGCCATTATAGCTCCCTACTCTACCCCAGCCAAACTCAACCCCCAAGACCCAGAGCCAGGAGGTGCTCAGTCCTCATCTCTCCTCATGTTTTATTGACTGATAGAAACTACATCATTTTATTGACTGATGGAAACTACTCCACAGGGACAGTGCTGGGAACTGGGAACCTAAGATGATGCCAGATTTCCAGAAGGTGACCCAAGAGGGAGAAGAGAAAGGAATATGTGAAAAGAGTTGAGGAGAAGTAGGAATTAAAGAAGTTCCTTCTGCCTTCCACAATTTTCAGAATTCAGGGACAACTTATACCTTAGTTCCTGAGAAATCTGAACTGAGAACATGGAATTACCTCATGATATCCAAACACAGCTCAGCTCTTGCTAGCTGCCAGGCTGTTATCTTAGCCAGTACAGACTCCAGTTCAACTCAGGAAGGAAGAAAACCAGACAAAAAGAAAGACTGGTTTAAAAACCAGACAAGGAAAAAGAAAGGTTAGAGGTACCCCCTCTGATGAGGACAGATGTAGATGCTACAGCAAACTGGGCAGAGGCTTTGCATAATATGGCAGCAGCTGCTATTGCTAGAATTTTCTGGAGTCCTAGTAGAGGATGAGGCTATAGGGATCTATTTCCAGTAGTTAGAGAAAGGGCTGATGGTCTTTGTGCTGTCTTGTTGGGAAAGGTAGTTTGATACTTCAGCCATACCCTAGGAGTAGCAAGTCACTGTTGAGGTCATAGCCCATAGAAGCCGGTGGTTGCATTCCAAATTTTAAAGTGTGGGAGTTGTTAGGCCTGAGATCAGAGGTGAAGTGTCTCTCTTAAGTCTCAAACCTACACAACTCAGCCAGACCAGAGCCAACATTCAGAGGGGAGCTTTGCCTACCTTAGGGCCTGAAAGAAGGAGACTATAGGAGGCCAGCTAGAAAAATCATCTGAAGTGGGAGAAGATTCCTATTTCCTGGCTACTTTCCCACTAAGTGGGCCATTCCATGAAACTGCATTGCATATTTCTTGGTAGGGAGCCTACCTTTCTTTGTTTCCTCAAAATATTGCTTTGGAATGAAGCCCCCAAGAATAGAGGGAGCCCATTGGAAAGGCAGAACCACCCCTTATAGGGAAGAGAGCTTGACAGTCTCAGAGAGAAGGCACGGAGTACCCAGGCTGTAGTTCCTAAGGGTGCTGCTGGCACTGCCACTGCTGCCATCAGTGGGGGAAGGTTGATTTTCTTCTGGAGTATTAGCAGGAGGGGTAGGGATACTGATAATGGCTGCCACAAAGTCCCCGCTGTCACAATGCAGGTCGAGGGTGATCACGTGGCTTGGCATTGAGGCTTGAGCGGCTGTGGACAAAGAAGGAATATGGAAGCCTCTTAAAACATTATCTATTCTTAATACTTGCCACACAATCATGTGATCTGTTAAGCACCCACCAAGTCCATGGCACTATGCTAAGTGCTTCCCTTGCATGAATGTGAGCTCTGGAGTCCTTATGTTATAGGCATTGTACGTTGTACTCCTGTACTTTGTATTAACTCACAACCTTAGAAGGTAGGAAATACTGTTATTCCCATGCAACAGACAGAGAAAAGAAGTTGAAAGTGACTGAAGTGCAGACACAATCCTGCATTTGAGCCTTTGTATCAACTATTTACTCTGCCTGTAAACTTTTCAACTAGATACATGTATGGCTCACTCTTTTCCCTCCTTCAGATCTCAGTCATGTGTCCCTACAGTAAAACCATCTCTGACTAAACTATTCAAATTGTATTAGTCCCTGCTTTATACTCTCTTTCAAGCCTGATTTTTCTCGTGTGTACTTAGAAATCTTTAACATATTACATAATCTGTATACTTACTACCTCTCTTCTGATGTTAGAATATAAATTCCAGGAGAACAAGTTAAGTCTGTCCTTTCCACTTCTATATCCCAAGTGCTTAAAATAGTTCCTTGCATACAACAGGTGCTAAATAAGTGTTGGAAGAACATGGAGTTTAAAACAAGGGAAGTTCGGGTGTCGCCATTTCTTCCGTCCTTCATCTCTGCGTCTGTCGCAGAGCCTCCAGCATCACTATGTTCGGGCAGAGCATCCGAACGTTTACCACCTCTGTGGTCTGTAGAAGCCACTATGAGGAGGGCCCAGAGAAGAATTTGCCTTTTTCGGTGGAAAACAAGTGGCGGTTGCTACTACTGATGACTGTATACTTTGGGTCTGGATTTGCTGTGCCTTTCTTCATCGTAAGACACCAGCTGCTTAAGAAATAAAGATGTTTCAATTCATCTATGAAGGAGATAAGAAGAGCGTTTTAAGAAGTTTAACCTCTGAAGAATGGCTCAAACTCTGTTGAACACATAGCATTCTGCTTATGTTTGTAAATAAACTTAACCTCCGTGAAAAAAAAAAACAAGGGAAGTTCAAGTTACCAGCATGAAGGGTTCAAGTTTGATTTCTCAGACCCACTGATCTAAGCTCTGAGCTTCCCAGTTGTGACCTGAGCTTCTCCAGGGAAGCTTACTTAACCTCTGAGGGGCAGGGCTCCTCTGAAGCCCAGTCAGTGTGTCCAGCTCCTGCATACTGCCATGTCTGACTGAGAGAGTAGAGTTGGCAAGGCGTATGACATGGTGTTTGGCCCTGTGAGGGCAGCAAGAAGATAACAGATCACTGGTTCTCACTGGCTGGAGGGACATGGAGGTACTGCGGCTGTTGCGGCCACCTAGTGCGACAGCTCCCAGGGCCTCACTGAAAGTTCATCTGTGAACTCATGGCACTGTGGGGAGAGGAAAGAAAAAGCTGTAGAGTGCATTATGGGAACTGATCCTACCTCCAAACCTTTGTTGAGGTTGTTTCCTCCTCTGTGAAATTCTCTCTTCCTTTCCCTTGCCCATCCATCAAGGCTCAATTTTACTGTAGTTTTTCCCAGCTCCATCCCAGAGAGGAAGATGGCTTTGATCAGTGGGAATCTCCAGTTTGCCATGCCTCCTCCCATCAGGCCTTACTGTTGTCTTCTAAACAGTGCAGTAAGTGGTGATGTTGCTGCTCAAAGGCAGAATGGTTCCTGACAGACAGTGCTGGTTCCTTCCCACTGCCACTATCCTGGAGTGGGTAGAGCAGAGGGATAATTTCAGCATCTTCTTCCCACCTGTCATTGCTCACCTTTCCCCTAGTATGGGTCTCTACCTACCTCAAAGCCCCCATTCTGCTTGTACTCCAGAAAGGCATTGGTGGTACCACTCTTTGCCAATCGGATCCTTGCTAAGCGTACCTTCTACAAAGAAAAGAGGTAAAAGGCCATGCGATAAACCCAAGAGTAGACTGCTCTGAAATGAAGGGCATAAGAGGTGCTTAGATGGAAAACGTGGTTACCTGTTGTACTCTGCGCTTGTCAGCACGTTGGTTCTGGTGGTAGATGCGGCTAAAGTTGGATACAATAACTGGCACTGGTAGAGCAATGACCAAGACACCACTGAGTGAGCAAATGGATCCAAAAATCTTGCCAGCAATGGTGCTGGGCACCATGTCTCCATAACTGGACAAGAGGAGGTAAGCCATAGTGAGGAAAAGTACCCACCCACCTCTTTGGCCTATGCCACCCCAGCAGCATTGACTCACACTGTGATCCTGGTCAGTCATTCAAACTCTAACCCTCAGTTTGTTGCACTACAAAATGCAGGGCACACAGTTGGGGTCAAATAAGAAATGGGCCTGGCCCTCAGCCCCCCGCATCTGCTGCCATCCAAACTAAGCACCAGGTATGTAAGTCAACTGGAAATAGGAGAGAATGAGGCTGTCAAAAGCAGTAATAAGCTTCCTGGGGAGAGATCCTCACCACGACAAGCCAGCTGAGAAGGCACTGAGCCCTGGGAGAAGCAACCTGTTGGTTTTGCCTTAATCTTTTTACCTTCTCAAACCATGATCTCCTTCCTCCTTATTTCCCCAGAAGAATCTTTGAAACTCTTAGGAAAAATAGAGGGAAGAAAGTCTTGAAACACCCCCCCCTTTATCTATCTCCATAAAGACAGAGCACAATCTTACCATCATTTTTAATAAATGGGGAAACTGAAGCTCAAGAAGGTTTCATAGCCAACTTGCCCAATATCACACAGCATGATTTTGTTCTGGCCACAGGCTCAGCCAGAACTGCTCTGTAGAAATACAGGATCTGTAGTTTCCAGCCTGTAGAACTTTGCTCAGGCTATGTTCTCCTGTTAGGATGGTCTTTCCTTATTTTCACTCATTTTGACCACTCAGAATTCTACTCAAAAATCTTTCCAACTTGGTTCTGGGATATGTCATCCCAGACTATCCTTAACTATGAGACATGGGCAGCTGTCTGTCCTGACAGACTTGTTGTGAGGAATGGATAGGGTATAAGGAATTTAAACAGTTCTAATTCATTGTCAGGGATTCCATATTGGTTAGTCCATCCTGAACCTCCAACCAGAATTCATTTATACAAATCAATTTTTTCTGTCTCTGCTAAGGCACTGATCAAGTTCATTCCTTCCTTCATTCAACAAATACTGAGTACCAACTGTATACTTAGTCCTAGTGCTGGAAACTCAGAGAAGGATCAGGCATAGTATATGCCTTAGATAGACAATGTCTTTAAGAATTCCATGTGTTTGGTGGTTCCATTTGTTAACTTTTATCCCAACTCTCTTTCCTTTCAGGGATTGAAAGTAAAAAGATAGTGTTGAAAATATCTTGTTCTGGGGACTACCAAGGAATTACAAAGTTACAGAGGATTAGAAGACATGAATAAATATTTTTCTATTAGAAAAAAAAAAATTCTATCCAGAAACTCTATGAACAGTGCTCAGGCCTTCCATTCACAGGGTCACTATGAGTCGTCTACGACTCAACAGCACCTAACAACAACAACAACATAGACAATGTTGGCCTTAGTGGACAGAAAGTTATGTTACCAAGCCCAAGGTGGGTGATTTTAGTCTGCAGCCCTCAGGCCTGGTTCAAATTGTGTTGATTTTTATTTGTCAAACATTCTTCTAGGTGGTACAGCTGGTCTGTGCATTGCTGTACAGAGGGGTAACTAGTGGTTACTGTGATGCTAAACACAGTGACACTGATGTGCCAGATGTGATTATGGTTATCCATGGTGGACAGTGGTGCAGCTTCCCGATTAAAACAAGCTTGGAAGCAAGAGTGGCATCCACTTCCGAAATGGCTTGCCTCTGGAAACTCTATGAACAGTGCTCAGGCCTTCCATTCATAGGGTCGCTACGACTTGACGGCACCTAACAACATTTTCAAAATAGAAAAAGAACCTTCACAATTGAAGTAGCATTGAACCCTCTCTATATGATAAAGGAATAATCATTTCTTATCTTACACAGGGCAAAAAGTGAAGCCAGAGAAAAAGTCAATAGAAATTACCATCCTTGAACTCAAAATCTTCTGACCTGGAAAATCAAGGCCTGATCAGAGCCATGAAAATTTGGAGATTAAGAAATGCCCTCTTATTTTTCAGGAAAGCAAACTGAAGCTCAAAAAGTGAGATCACTCATCTAACCTTCTTAAGCTCAGAGTGAGTGTAACTGACCAATAGGCGTGCAGCTCCCTGCACAGGATCCACACTCACCCAAGCGTGGTCATGGTGACAATGGTATACCAGAAAGCTGCAGGGATGCTTGTAAAGTTGGTCTTGTTTGTGCCTTTCTCAGCATAGAACATGACAGTGGCAAAGATGATGATGGCCATTGTTAGGGAAAAGAGGAGAAAACCCAGCTCAGAGGCACAGCTCTTGAGTGTGTAGCCCAGACAGAATTCTCAGGCCTTGTGAATGCCGGGAGAATTTAAAGATGTGAAACACCCGGAACACACATAACGTGATGAAGGCACCAGAGGCATCTTCATTCTTTGGCATGAAAAGACCAATGTAGTAGGGCAAAATGGCCACCACATCAATGAGACTCATGACACTCCGTAGAAAGCGACAACGACTAGGGGCAGCAAACAGCTGTAGGAAGTATTCACCTGTGAATATGAGCACACAAGCTGTGCCCATACAGAAAAAGGCCAATGGGAAGCGGTCGCCACAGGGCTGCTCCCTTGAGGAATGTCGTGCAGGGCCTTGGCATGGGATAATTTCCACCACGTTGGCAATGACTGATATAGCAATAAAAAAGCCAGTCACATAGTAGAAAACCAGGGCTGTGGTACTCGTGTGAGGGTTCTCAAAGGCCAGCCAGAGCTGCTGCCGCAAGGAGCTGCCTGCTGGTGGTACTGGCCTATCCCTAACCTGCTCAACCTCCTCATCCTCTGCCAGGTGCTCAGTACTCTCCTTTTTATGATCCCCGTACTCTTCAAAACAGCAGTCACCAACAAGTTCAGGTACCAGGCCATAGAAGGCCAGTTCTTCGTCAAAGGCCTGGATGCACTCCTGCCGTGGACAGTGCAATCGACCAGTGCGGTAGAAATTCAGCACATGCCGGAACATATCTGAGTCTCGATCAAAGAAGTACTCGCCTGATTCAGCATTGTAGAAGAACTCCTTCTCTGAACTTCCCAGTAGAGTATCTGGATAGTGATCCAGCGTGTCCTTCCAAGTCTCAAAGCAACGCCCACTCACGTTCACCACCAGAACCTCATCCCTGCAGGCCTTCACCTTTGGTGCTGGGGGCAGAGGCTGCTGGGCCAGGGGAAGCCAGCCCACAGCAGCTGCCCGGGCAAAAGGTAGCCATGTGGCCATGCCTACTGCCATCTTGCTGCTTCCCAGGCTCAAGAAGACTCAGGAGGGTTATGTGTGGAAGGGGTGTGTGTCACTCTCCTTTAGATTAGGAGAATGTGGCTATCTCTGGGATGGTGGGGGCTTTGAGAGGCCCTTGGCCACTTGCACAGGAAAACTGTCTACAGGGGCCAAGAAGAACCAGGAGGAGGAACTAGAGAGTTAGAGGATATTTATGAAGAAGTTGGGAGAAGCCTTCAGTACTGATAAAGGACTAGGGGTCAGGGAGAGGAGTAGAAAAAGAGGGATCTGGTAAGGATGTGAATGACCTCAAGCAGTATCTAGAGAGACTGAAAGGACTCTAGAGTGTCCATCGTGTGCCTGCATAATGTTTGAGGCAGTTTAGAGGAGTCCAGAAACACCTAAAGAGGGTTGTACACTCAAGAGTTCTAGGAGAAGGAAAAAAGGACTGGAGATCATAAAAGGGGTCAGAGCATCCAGATGGGCAAAACTGGGACCTGAAGTGTTTATCTGGGTAGGGGGAGGGATCAAAGGGGTACAAATAGATGAGGTAAGTTGTTCGTAACCTTGAGGATTCTGAGGAAAAGATGAGGCTGTTAGAGCTTCCTGGTGGACTTAGAAAGGAGGTTGGTGTATTTAGAGGGATAGCATTGGATCAGGAGGTTGTAAAAGACTAGGAGGTAACTTGGGAATACCTAGAACTTCCAAGAATAGCCTAAAGGGTAAATATATACAGGCAATCTGGGAAAAGAAGGGAAGATTGAGACCCACCTCCCCAAGTGGGGTTTGCGAGGGGAGTGGGATAACTAGACTGGTAGGTATGGAGTTGGGTTATTTTTTAAGGAATCTGAGAGGTATCTGGGGATGGTCTCTCGAAGGACTCAGATTTGTTCTAGGAAAGAGGGTACTGAGGAACTCAGAGGGACTAAGATTAAATTGAAAGTAAACTGAACATAACCCCAGAGTACTAAATGTATCTAAAAAAAGGAGATCCCCACAAAGAATGCTGAAGGTGTGAAATGTTGAAAGGGAGTTCCATGTGTTTCTAGGGACTGGGGTGGGGTGGGGGGAGAGGCAGCAGGAGGGTGGTGAAGGGGCTGGAGAGCAGATAAGGCTGGATACCACTGGTTGGGGACAGATCTGGGGAAAGCACACCCTGAGAGGCTGGCCGTTTGTGGTGGACAGCAACAGCAGGAGCAGTGACCACAGCCAAGCCTAGGAAAGGAGAAGGCAGCAAAGACAGGTAGGGGGCTGGGTCCTTGGAAGGGTAAGGCTGAAGACTCTCCCAAGATGGGCTAGGGTATGGGGGGGGGGGGACCAGGGAAGAGCAAGGACAACTTTACTGGTGGCCCTCTCCCCCTTCCCATGGGGCTGTCCTCACCTGTGTGCCTGCTGTAGCAGCAACAGCAGTGGGAATGGGGTACCAAGCACAGGAGCTCCCAGCCCCTTCTGCAGAGCTGCTTTCCAGAGTTCTCTTCCTCTGGCTCTCTCTCCCAGCCCCTCAGAGCTTGCAGAGATGCAGAGGGAAGGGAGCAGCTTCGTAGCTCTCAGCGACCCCTCCCCTAGGACAGCCTGAGGACCCTGGGGAGACTCCGCCTCCTACTAAGCTGGTTGGGCCTCAGTTGCGTCATCTGGAAAATGGGGGTGGCAGGGAGTTTTGCCAGTTTCCCTCACCTCCTTCCTGGACTCCTCTCGCTCTTCCTGCGCAATCCCTACTCTCTCTGTCCCAAGGGGCCCCCACCTCCACCGCCTGAATCAGCAGCACTTAGCAGATCTGATCGATGGGGAGGCATCCCTCTGTTAATGGCCCCAGAGAACAGTGCCATAGGGAATGATACAGCTCTGTGTCCCCTCTCTGCTCCTCAGGAAGAAGGGCTGGAATTGCCAGAGGTCGGGTGGCGGTGAGGGGTGCTTCTCTAGGTGGCAGGCCTTAATAGCTTCTGCCCTAATGAGATGTACAGAGCCCCAACTCTAACATGGCTTAAAGCTGAAACAGCTTTCCTATCTGTAGATGTAAAGAGGGTGGTGGTGGTAGTATTAGTACAGATTAGGAAATCTAGGCCTCACCCCCATACCAAGTTGTCCAGTTTGCCTTATCTGTTCACATCAAGTAGCCTCAAATCTTACCCCTTTCCCTAGAGGGTTTTGCTCCCAGGTGGCAAGCACACTGGGTGTAGAGTACTGTGGGAAGGCACTGTGTCCTTGAGCAAGTAACTTGTGTAGATTCTTCAGTTGTCAGATGCAGTCAGATACAAACTTGATAGTGTCATTTCACTCACTACTGTTCAGATAGTACTGACTCATGATAACACAGGATCATGAATAATATTAAATGAAATGTGAAAGGGGATGGGACAGGGCACGTAGAGTTCCTAATCTTTCGTAATTAAAGTGTGGCAAGGCTAATATTAGCAATTCGATTGACTTATCCACTAGTCTGTACCCCTGATTTGTTCATTTCTCCATCTCTCCACCATCCAACAACATAGTTGCCTCCCTCCACCCACACATCTGATCATCCATTTGTCTATTCACCCCATCCACCAACATTCCTGTTTCATCTGCTATTCAATCCATCAATCTCACTCATCTTTCCATATGTCCACTCACGTTTTTCCACTCAACTTTTACCCTTCCAATTAATTAGCTCATCCCTTCACTCTTTTCCATCTTTCCATTTACTCCCACCCTGCCCATAAATCTGCTTCATTCATCTGTTCATTTACTCATATGCCCACACATGCATCTGTCCTTTTATATACCCACCTGTCCAATTTTTACCTATCCACTAATGATCCATTTATCATTTATTCATCTATCTTCCCTTTTAACAATCATCAATCCATACAACTTTCCACTTAGGACTCCATGCATTCACATCTATGTATTTGCAGATATTTCTGCACCATTCCATTTGAGGATCCAGTAACTGAGGGCAGTGAAAGGAGTGCAAAATTGGTTGTAGGCAAACACCACATTCCCCAATCCAAATGAATGACAACTCTACCCTGTCCCATGCCTAGCATATCCTTGCTTGTTAGAAAGAAGAGACCAGAGAGTCAGTGCTGGGTCCATGTGACCAGATGGTATTTTTGGCTTCGCAGTCTTTACATATACACGCATGTTGCTGAAATGCTGAACACAGATCACAACCTCACCCAGAATCCCCAATCCCAAATGCAGAGTAGCGAGGACTACAGATATAAATTAAAAAAGAAAAATTGATCTGTGAGAGAGAACTCATGCAGAGATGAAGACATATGGTCTTGAGAGTCAGCCCCCCCCCCAAAATACCTCTTCCTCCCCTCAGGATTCCCACTCGAGGGGCCTCTGCCCCAAGTCAGGGTCCTTAACATCACCCATGAGGCTTTCAATCCCTTTAAAGTTCTATTTTCCAACCTATTCATTTTTGGCCCAAGCCTCTATTTTCCCACAACAGCCCAAAAGAATGGAATCTTGGTGAGGAGGGGAGGAAGTGCGTGCAGATTGTAGGTCTTTAGCTGGCCTCTTCAGGCAATAGGTCTGAATCAGGAGATCCAACACACTCCTTGCTGAGCCGCACAATTTCCTGAGATAGAACCTCCATGTCCTATGAAATAAATGAGCCATCAGGAGCCAGAGAAGAGGTAGGGGTAGCTCCCTTACTAAACCTAGAGTGTGAACTGTGATTTCTTTCTTGCTGCATTAATCAATGCTCAACTACATCTGACCTGGAATGAGAAGATATTAAGAGACGCTCACGAAGCCTTCAGCTGTAGCCTGAGCTCAGAAAAGGTATTGTGAGGAGTTTTTGCTCAGGGGGCATTGAGTTTATTTTAATGGTGGTGGGATGACTTGGAAAAGAATAACAAGAATGGTTGAAAAACTCGAAAAATGTCACGGAATTGTACATGTGCAAACTGAGAAGGCATGTTTTGTTGTATATACTTTCTAAATAAAATAGAAGTATATATAGATGTAAGGAGTTTCTCAAGCTACAAATATGGGAACAGATAACCAGTATGGCATGGATATAATCCCTATCTCTTCTAAGCTTGCTTCTCAAAGGCAGGAACTGGATATGATTTCTTTTGAACTCCCCTAATAATGGAGGAAGCATTAGTTAGCAGGATGGCATGTAGATACAATTCTAAAAGGATGGATGAGGGAACTCATGGTAGGCAAATAGCAAGGAATGAATGATGACCAGATAAGAGAAACAAGTACATCAAAGGAAATGTGGGGGGGGAAAAAACACAGAGTAGGTAGATGATTAAATAGGTGGAAAGATTGGTAAATAGTAGGGTGGACAGATGAGTAAGCTGATAAAATGGGAAGATGAGAGGACCAAAAAAGTCAATAACTGGGTAGGGAAATGGAATGGAGGACAGGAGAGTGGCTAGATGGATGGGATATATTGTAGATGAACCAGTGGCTATGTAAGTGAGCAGGATGTGTCTGGATGAATAGACTGGTAAGCTGCTTGGTCACACTTGCCTTGTGCAAGTGCATGTTCTTGGTGAGTTGCTCCTCCAGCATGTTCTGCAGCTTCTTGTTCATCTCTCGAAGGTTCTCATCGCCTGGCTTCACTAGGTCTCTTAGGACGCTGCCCAGTCCGCTACGGTCAGTGTGGCCTGCTGCCACAGATACATCTGCAAGGGTCTAGGCTGAGAACTATGCTCTCAGCAGAGCCAGAGGTCAGCCAGACAAAGACAGGAGAAAAGAGGGAAACAAAGAACAACAGAGGAAGGAGGAAGAAACCATGTTATGTAGGAGGTGAAGACTTTAAAATGTGAAACCTTGACTGTGCCAATTACTAGCTGTCATCCTGAGCCTCTATGAAATAAAGATAATAATTAACTCATAGAAGTTGAATATATATGACAGCATGTGAAGAACAGAGCACACAGTAAACACTCAGCATATGTGAATTAGTTGGTAGTATTCTGATCAAGAGAGAAGAATGTTTGAAAGAAAGACAAGGGAAGAGAAGAAAAAGTGGGAGAGGGAGGAGGAAAGAGAGAACAAAAGGGGAA